CTGGCTATAGTTGGAGTGTCGTATCTCTCATGGAGTCCGAGAACAAGTCCGATGGGATTAACAGCAATCCAACGAAAAGAGAGATGGGCTCATCGTCACCTATCGGACCCTGGGGCAATTCCAACGCCCTTGGAAGCAATAGACGCCTGCGTGGAGGTATACGGAGGAACAAATGCTGTTACTCTCCGACTCTTCCTGAACCCGATGGCAGGCCAGCCAGTGGGAAATCTTCCTTTACGCCATCTTCCACGATTGCAGACACTCATGAAGCAGGGTGAGGAGGCCTCCAATGATATAGGGGATCGACCTTCAGCGAACCTAGCTGCGACACTGAGACCTAGACGTCAAGGGTATACCCCTCGGCGAAAACCATGGGAGTCACCCCCAAGAACCCCAAAGGAAAGAACTCAAAAGGAGAGAAATATGTTCAGATTTCTTCTTGCTCATTCTGGACTCACAAAGACTCAGTTGCGACTTTTGGGAGACAAGGCCCAGACTAGTATGGCCGAAGCATTGGGATTCCAATTTGAGGACCCACCAAAAAACGAGTAACGGCTGTCGGCTCTGCCGGCGGCCTTCTCCACCTCAAACCCAACCCTACTGATTTGTCCTAGGGGGCATCAACATATCCAAGGCCACCGATACCCCCTAGAGGTTCACTGAACAATGGGGGATCTCGATACCTCACCCTCATCAGTCTCACCCGCAAGTTCACAAAGGAACAGTTCAACGGTCGGGACAGTATCCTAATACCTATTCTGTCCAACTAGAAGAGAAACCTGATCGTCCCCCTATCATAGTTCATCACAACTGGATGACTCGTCGTTCCGACGTTCACCCAGTATCCTTACCATAAATCCGACTATGATTCTCTCTTCTTTTGTTTTGTTGTTGTTTTCTTTTCTCTACAGGTTTAGCCCCAACAAAAGCGATAACCCACAACGGCCTGATTACCAGACTGCAGTTCATTCGAACCCATGGAGTGATGATGGTGAAGGAGACATAGAGACGACGAACGTCTATTTGCTCAGGACTTACTATGACATTGTTTTCTCTCATTTTATTAGGTGTTTTATTGACACTGTCTGTTATAGGAGAGGACGGACCGACTACTAGACGAGGAAAGTCCCAATCAGATGTTCTCCAGTCAGATGATGATCAACAGTTGTTGTTATATGTTAAAGTTATTGTGTTTTATAATTTATTAAGAAGACCGGTCTATTAAGTTGTTTTTATATATATAATGGTTGTTAAAGCTTTGCCAGGTCAGTTAATCCTGAAGCAAGAAAGCCTTAAGATGTGCTCACGTGTCTGAAATTCCAGTTGTGCCATTGGCAAGGGGGCATGTCACAACCCAGTGATTTTTGTGCCTCGGCACTATGGAATTTCCTGGCCACATGAGAGCTCTCTTGCACGGCAGAGTGTTCTGCTACAATTGAGAACCCGCATGTAGGAGAGAGTTCCCGCCAATTTGCAGTTTCCCTTGCAGGATGCATTTCTTCTTTGCAGCACAGAAATGCACGGTGCAAAGAGTTCCCGCTATTCGAATGTAAATTTGTGCCCCGCTATTGGCCAGTGCTAAATTATTCACACGTGGCGGCTAGTAATTGGCTCGCTGGCCGTTTAAAATTCCGCGCGACTTC